TGCTACAGCAACTTGTGAAAGACCTCGGATGTTTGAACTGAACGTTGATGAGTGGCTTTCTCAACTCGACGGATGACTGCGGCCCAAGATTCCTCGGCTATGGCGGACACGGGGAGGACACCGGAAAGAACAGAGGGACGTCGGGGCTGATCGTGGTGGCTGGTGGAGATGACAGCGACGAACTATGGTGGTCGGGGAACAGTAGGTCGACTCGGCTTCGCGGTACTGGTGGCAGGTATCCCACAGGGTGACAGGCAGCGACGGGAAGGGAAGAAATACAGGCGGTGATCGGATTTTTAAAAGAGAAAGATGAGAGAGCGCTGCTAATGGCGATTTGAGAGAGATGAAGAGATTAAGAGATTTTTCTTCTTGCCTTCCTTCTGCGCGTGCGAATTTCAGAGAGTGAGACAAGGCCGAGAGAGAGAACGAGATAAAGGGAGGAAGAGGGATTTTCTTCTTGTTTTTCTGCTGTTACTAATCATGGGAGAGAAATATCAAAGTGGGGGAAAGAATAATTTATAAGACCAATTAGAAATAATAACTCCTAATTAATAGTAAATAAAGATATAGGTGTAACTTCCCCCATATCATAATCGTGAGTTGAAAAATTGGAATATGTTGGTTACAAAATGAAGTTTAAAAAATTAAAATCAGGTTTCCCAAGCCTTGCATGCAAAGGGGAAAATCGGTATGGGCCGGGTTGGCTACGCGGGCGTGATTTCGATCCTTGCGCGGGTGCGGCTTCTTGCGGTCGAGGCCCGGGTTAGCACGCATTCGGATAAATCCACGATATATCCCGACTAGGCTCGAGCATTCGGTTCGATCGATAATTAATATTTATAATTCAACTCGATTATAAAATTAGAAACTAAACTATTAGACAATTACGAGCATGCAACCAATTAAACAAATTAATAATAGAGCTCAAAATAAATAAATTATAATAATAAAATAAATAAATAATTCCAAAATAATCCTGAACAAATGGGGCGTTACAGGGTGATAAGGTGACGAGAAGAAGTGCTTGATGCCGTAATCTTCACAAAAGCTTTCAAATCGCTTTCCTTCAAACTGGCGACCGTTGTCGGTTATGATGGAGTTCGGTACTCCAAACCGACAAACGATTGATTTCCATACAAAATCGATCATCTTTTGTTCCGTGATGGTTACAAGAGGCTCGGCTTCAACCCACTTAGTGAAATAATCGGCGGCTAAAATAGCAAACCGAACACCCCCTTTCGCTGTTGGAAGTGGGCCGATCAAATCAATTCCCCATTTTGCAAACGGCCACGGGCTATAAATTGACTTGAGGAGTTCAGGATATTGATTAACGTTAGGGGCAAATATCTGGCATTTGTGGCATCGTCGCACCCAATTTGCGGCGTCTTTCCTAATGGCAGGCCAGTAGTAGCCTTGTCGGAGAATCTTGTGGGACAAAGCTTGAGCTCCCTGGTGAGTACCGCAGACTCCTTCGTGTACTTCTTGAAGAACTCGTTGAGCGTCAATCTCTGGCAAACACTTAAGCAATGGAGTAGAGTATCCACGCTTATATAACGTTCCCTGATCAATAGTGAAATGAGCAGCACGAACACGAAGAGCGCGAGCTTCTTTCGGGTCTTCAGGTAAGGCCCCGGTTTGAAGATAGTCGACGATCGGGTCCATCCATGTCGGATTTGAAGTTGGTGGGGCGGCGTCAACCATGACGAAGTCGGTAGAGACTGTTGATGAGGTCGCCTGTTGAGTAATTTGCACGAACTCGACATTATTCAAGTCGGTAGATGAGGCCAAACGTGAAAGAGCATCTGCTTGAATGTTGGATGACCGAGGTATATGTTCCAACGTCATTTTAAACCGTGTCAACTTCTTCTTTACGAGATCAAAATAAGGCAACAACCGTGGTTCTTTAACTTCATAAGTACCATTGATATGGCTGACTAATAACTGAGTGTCAGAAAATACTTAGAGAGACGAAACATTCATGGATTCAGCGAAGCGTAGGCCTGATAAGAGGGCCTCATACTCGGCTTCATTGTTGGTGGCCGGGAAGGTGAATGCTACAGAGTAGCAAAACACTTGTTGATCAGGACTAACTAAGACAATCCCTCCTCCAGCTCGCATAGCAGTGGACGATCCATCGACGTAAAGAGTCCATGTTGGATCTTCAATGGATGCACTGACGATTGGAGTAAATTCAGCAATGAAGTCAGATAATACTTGAGCTTTGATAGCGGTTCATGGTCGGTACTGAATATCAAACTGTCCCAATTCTATCGCCCACTTAATCATTCTTCCCGACGTGTCAGGTCGGTGAAGGACTTGTCGGAGAGGGTATGTCGTAAACACAATAATTGAATGTTCCAGAAAATATGGGCGCAGCTTCCGCGCAGCGATGATCAGAGCAAAGGCTAACTTCTCCATATGTGGATATCGCAATTCAACATCATGTAAGGCTTTGCTAACATAATATATCGGGAATTGTTGAAGCCCATCTTGTCGTATAAGAACAGCACTAACAGCAACGTCACTTACACCAAGGTACAAATACAGAGGCTCATCAGGAAGTGGCTTCTGCAATGTCGGTAACCGTGAGAGAACTTCTTTGATGTTGTCAAAAGCATTCTGGCATTCCATGGTCCATTCGAACGGTTTCTTCTTTTTGATAGCGTCAAAAAATGGCTTGCAATGATCTGTAGACTTTGAAATGAATCGATTGAGAGCTGCCAGTCGACCAGTTAAAGCTTGGACACCCTTGATAGATGTCGGGGGAGCCAGGTCAAGTATGGCTTGAATCTTGGCGGGATTGGCCTCAATCCCTCTCTGACTCACCATGTATCCTAAAAACTTCCCTGATCCTAAAAACTTCCCTGATCCAACTTCGAAAGTACAATTCTTGGGGTTAAGCACCATTGAATATTCTCGGAGTATATCAAAGACCTCGGAAAGATGAGCGATGTGATCAGAGGCCTGTTCCGATTTTACTAACATGTCGTCCACATAAACTTCCATCGTGTGGCCGATCAAGCGAGCAAACATATTATTGACCAACCTTTGATACGTGGCCCCTGCATTCTTCAATCCAAAAGTCATCATGACATAACAATAGAGGCCTCGAGCTGAGTAGAACGAGGTGTGTTCAGCATCATCAGGGTGCATGAGAATTTGGTTATAGCCAGAATAGGCATCCAAGAAACTCATAAGTTGATGTCCCGATGTAGCATCTACCATGTAATCAATGTGTGGAATGGGGTAGCTATCTTTCGGGCACGCTTGATTCAAATCTGAAAAATCTATGCACAGACGCCAAAGGCCGGTGGCTTTCTTGACCAAGACAGGGTTCGATATCCACGTCGGGTATTTGACTTCTTTGACGAACTTATTGTCTATGAGCTTGTTTACTTCCTCTTCAAGGGCCTTCTGGCGGTCCGGGCCGAATTTCCGGCGTTTCTGGATAACATGCTTGATAGTTTTATCCAAATTCAAGCGATGACATGCTTTTTGCGGGTCAATTCCTTTCATATCTTCATGCTTCCAAGCGAACACATCGGAGTTTGACTGGAGGAATTGAATTAAGCTTGATGGAATGGGTTCTTGAAGGTTAGCTCCAATCCGCAGTGATTTTTGCTGAGTCGATCCATCCACGTAAATGGTTTCGACATCTTCAACTGGTTCTGCTCGGACATAGTGATTTCCATCCTTGAACTGCATCCGTGGATCCATATCTTCGTGCATTTCTGCGTCTTTATCATGAAATGGTTGCTCTTGATCAAGGACTTCGGTTGATATTTCGGGCAAAACCGACGTCATAGGGATATCGGTATCCGTAAGAGGCATGTTGGTATCTGGAATAAGCTGATCGATTCTTTCAGCATTAAAAGTTGAATTGTTCAGCTCAACAGAGTTATCAGCACCCTGCTCTTCAATCATATGAAAGCTACGCGAGGTTGAGAGCAACATCAGACTTCGGGCTTCTCGTTGATCTCCGTAATGAGTGCCTTTTCCTTCAATGGTGGGGAACTTCAGAGCATAATGAAAAATTGACACAGCAGCACGAAGTTTGTAAAGTGCAGTTCGTCCTATTACGACATTATACTCGTTCTGGACATCCAAGACTTTGAAAGTCTCCATAATGATCTTGGATTTTGGTCCAAAGCCGCCAAACCGAATGGGGAGTAGTATTTCACCGACAGGACAAGAAATGCTTCCATTGAAACCTTGAATTTGGTCGTTGCAAGGCCTAATGTCCGCCGGGTCCAAACCCAATTTTTTGAACGTGCGAAGCATCAAAATACTTGAGTAAGCTCCTGTGTCGACCAAAATCCGATGAACAGGAATCCCCCCTATCGGAGCCGTTATAATAAGAGCATCGGAATGAGGATGAGCAAATAAATTGGCATCTTCGATACTGAATGTGATAGGACAATTCCGTTTGTTGATGGTATCTCGAAGATCAACATTCATGACTCGTTTTTCGGCATTCTGTGCCTCCCGGGCATAGGCTTTGACTTTTCGTCGAGAAGTATCTAACTGCTTGTTATTGGAATTGACTCGAGGTATGCAGTGTGAAGAGTCTAAGGTGTCATGTACCCTGGACTTCCTGCAGTTACCAGTTGAGGTTCCGACATGAGTAGAAAACGTGAAAACCTCCTTATCGTTTGCGCGAGCTCTTTTCTGGTTAACAGGTCGGTTATCATCCTCTTCATCATCCGAAAGATCCAAGGGCCTTCCTTTCCGGCGATTATCAAAGTTTCGAAACTTTTGAAGCTGAGGTTGTCCAATTAACCGTAAGAGTGCTGATAAAAGGCCGAGACACTCATCGGTATTATGCCCCAGAGATTTATGATACGCACAGTATCGAGTTTTGTCCAGCTTGTCTTCAGGGGTTCTCACAGGCCTCGGGTCTGGAATAATCCCTTTTCCTTTTAGTTCTTCATATATAGTGGCTGCTCCGGCGGAATAAACGGCATGATAGCCTGTCCTGACGTTGTCTGAATACTGATCACGAGCAGCCCGAGACTCTGGAGTATTTTCATATCCTTTGGAGGAGTTCCGAAACTGTGCTTTCCCAAAGTTCTTCTTACTCTTCTTTTTGGCGTCCAGTTCAGTCTTGCTTTCTTTCACCGAGAAGTCGAAACTGGGAACCGACATCGATTCTTCGGCAATAATGAATTGTTGAGCTCGCACAAGAAATTCTTGAAACGTAGCAGGTTTATTTTGACACAAGGTCCAACGAAACATTGAGTTGGGCTTCAGTCCAGCAATGGCAGTTACTAACAAGGTTTCAGGGTGACAAGGCTCCATGTTCTGAATTCGGTCGTTGAACCGAGACACGTAGTCTTTAACAGTCTCGTCGTCCTTTTGCACAATGTTGGTAATTGATTCTTTCGGAATGAGACAAATTTGAGCACCGATAAAGTGCGATCGGAAGGCTGCGCGTAACTGTTGCCATTTCCAAATTGAATGAGGTGGGAGAGTATAGTACCATTTTTGCGCTCGTGGCCCCAGTGTAAGCGAAAACATCCGACATCTCAAAGCATCTGAAGCACCATGCAAATCCATCCAGGATGTATAATGGCCCAAGTGGGCATCCGGATCAGATGTCCCATCATACATGCCAATTTGTGGAATTTTTACCTTAGCTGGAAGTGCCTCTACGGTAAGTTCCGGAGCTAAAGGGGAATCCGCCTCGATAATGACATTTCCCAACGTCGTGACTTGTCGGGGAGAGTCTTCCTGCGACTTCTGTCGTGTCTCAATTTCAGTCAAGCGCTTACGAAGAGTTTCAATTTCCTCCGCACTATGTCTTGAAAGACGATTCCGTTCAATTTGGCGCCGCAAATCTTCACGAGCGTGAGGTGCTGATGAAATGGGTCTAGGACGTGGCGAAATTCTTTGGTGATGAGCAGAATGACTTTCAGCAGTCATCTCTTGCACAGGGGGCTCCTCCGGGGCTTGATTGTTCGTTATTGGGTTACCAGTTACACGAGTCAGCTCTTCTCGACGTGGAGAAGTATGGTGAGGTTGCGACGTAGCATGAGATGCTGCCGCATGTGTTTCAGGGTCATGCCGAGTGTGGGTTGGATGTTCTATTGGATTAGTGGTTAACGGCATCGATAACGGTACCGTATTCGAGTTCCTGGGCATGGCTCGAGCTATCAACGAGGTTAAACCTTGAATAAACTCCGGGTTTTGAAGAAAGTTCGTGATGTTCGTGACCGGAGGAGGTGGTGTTGCACGCCGCGAAGAATGGTTAATCGATTGGCTCTGGCCAGGATGAGTTATGTGGTCTCGACCAGACTGCGACATGATGGCTTCGAGCGTGAAAATGGCTTTAACAGCGAAAGTTAACTTCAAAACGTGATACACGCCCTCCTTCTAGCGCCAAACTGTTGTCAAACGAGAATTAACAACAATATAATCGATATGGATTTGTAATAAACTTAAGATAGAGCAATAAAGGCTTGTATGAGCGGCGAAAGGAGATAGAATTTTTCCGAATATTATTGTACACGTTTCTTGACTGGCTTGGAGAACTGTTTTCTCCTTTTATATTTATTTACAACATTTATCTAATATGTAATCATTACACAAGAATAGTCAACGACGGCTAATTGCCATTCATCTTAATAACGTGCCACTTGGCCAGGTGTAATGATGAGTTGTGCTGAGTTGGCACCGCCTTGTGGTGTCAGTCTAGCGAGTCATAGATATCGGTTCGAGTAGTTATAACCGATATGTCGTATCCGACATGTAGTAACCGACATGTCATAACCGACGTGAGATATCGGTCAATCGACGACGATGTCGGTTTCTTAACGAATTTTACCCGACGAGTGATTGCCTTGAAATTAACGTCAGAACCTTGAGATCTGTTAAGGCATCACCTACTCCATACGACTTCAATCATCCTTCTACTGAACATAATCAAGTGGTCAGAGTCGCCTAATCCGGTTTATTAAAAATGATGTCAACATCACCTATCCCAAATTACATTTGAGACTCCTTATTATAATTATCCGATTTACCTC